TGTGTGTCTACTAACTTTTCTAAAATGTAACAAAGTTTTACTTTGATTCCATTTACTTGAAGGTTGATAATACAATAAATTAAAAAAATGTTTTAACATTTCGCTTTGTCAATATTTTGTTCTGACCGATATATCAAATAATAAGAGACTAACTAAGAGAATAACTGAAGAGCTATAGGACTTTTATTCCCACAAATTATTTTAGACATTCATATGCATATCTGGTTCAATGGTATCTGTATTTAAAAAATTGGTGCTTGTACTTGTACTCGTCTCATACTCTAAGGCTCGGTACTCATACTCGACTCGTACTTGAGAAATCCCGTACTTGCCCAACTCTGATTCTGTGGCTAAAGAGATGTGCTTGAAACATTATATTGTCTTGTTTTTCTTTCTCTCTTTCTTAAAGGCGACGAAAACAACAAACACTGTTGCAGTACCGGTCATCAACTTCGTGCTTTTGCCGGTATTAAATTTGAAATAACAAATGAAGCGAGCCTTTATCAATGTACTGAAATTGAAGATCACAGTTTTATTGTCGTTAAAGGAATTAGAAGGAAATGGTCTGAAGTGAAAAATGACTATCAACAGTGGGACTTTAATGTTCTGACAACTACTGATGAATCAGTTAGATTAAAAAGTAAAGTTCTCTATGTTTGGTCAAAAGTTGGAAAGAAATTCTGTGACACGCATGAAATGGTCTTTGTTCAAAATAATACACCACGTCCACCTCCTGCTTTCTATCATTATATTCTTCTGCTGGATAATAGTGGCTCAATGCAACAAGAAGATCGTTGGCCAAATCTAATGGCCGGTGTTAATACATTGGTACACGCTCGTGCAAGTGTTGGTTCTTCTGATCGGATAACAATTATATCGGTTACAAGTCGAGCTAAACTCTTCTGTTCAAATGAAATAATGAACAATGTTGATACAACAAAAATTCAAAAACCAAATGGAGGTACAGATTATGGTCCTGCTCTTGACTTAGTAATTAAGACGATGGCAGCGAACACTCCTTTACCTGCAACAACAACAACTTCACAAGCAACCGAAAGCAGAACAACGATGACCAGAACAACCACCATAAAGCTTCCTTTTATTATTGTGCTAATGAGTGACGGAGAAGCACCATATCCAAACAGCCAGCTTATTCGTCTACTAACAATGAAAGATCAAATAGCTGAATTTTGGACTGTTGCCTTAGGTAAAGAACATATCCCGATACTTTAACAAATTAATACTACAATGGGTGGTTTTTTTAAACAGTTGAAAGATTCAAGTGATTTAATTGAAGTATATGCTGAAATTGCACAAGAATTTCCACAACAAGTACATCAGAGTCATTGAAAAATCTAAATCGAGCCTTTCCTAATTTTCAGTTAAATAGCTTTTTGGTTTTCTGTTTCACTCACTTATCAATCTAGAATGGCATGCTTAAATATATTTTAATTTTGATTTCTTTGCCCACTTTTATAGAGCCTACTTACGACGACGATAATAACTTCATCTAGCCCTTTTGGTTCAAAACGTAAAAATAAATTTTCAGGAGTAGACACTTAACACTATTAGATACAAATATGTTCATATTGAGCATGGATAATGTCATTACTCAGTTTTCATTACTACTGATCTTATCTGTTTCGTATCTGATAATTTTTTCTTCATCTCTTATTTTCTCTCATCTTCATTTCTGCATTATTATTTGTCAAACAGAAATTATTTCATGTTTGCTTCACAACGTCTTGAACAATATCTCAACAGACAAAATTTGGACGTATGCTCATACTAACTAAACTGAATATTCGATGAAAATAGTATTTGTTCTTCTCTTATATTAAGTTTAACAGAAGAGCCGTCCTATATGCATGTTGTGTACTTTATTCGTTCGTTCATTTGCATCTTTTTTCGTATTTTGGCACATAACATCCATATACAAAAACTTTTTTATTAAATTCAACATACAACAAGAACATATTTTATTTTCATCGACTATCTGTCAATTATATCGACAAGGAAAATATTGACAGCTTCATACAGAATACAGTCGGTAAAACTCAAGCTTTTTGCTTCCATTGAAGGAAATTAAATCTATTCTACACGACTTCAATAGCTTACAGGATAACTTTTTCTTTTATTGATTATGTGTAAAAAGTGAGTAACTGCTATTTTTTTGTGAGGAAGAAAACGTGTACAGCGGACCACACTGAACATATTAAGCAACATATTTCACTCACTCAGAAACTCAAACATGCTAAATTATCTTCGATATGAGCAACTGGTATAAGAGCTTTTAAGAGAACTGCCTGTTTTCTCTCACGTTGAGCAATCATTTCCCATTATTTATGGGAGCTTCTTATTTCTGCTTAGTTTACACGAAAGATGTTGTTTGAAAATCAATCAGCAGTAATAAAATGACAAGTATGAAGAGGTGTTGGTCACTTCTTCTCTTTGTCCATCAATGTTTGCGTGTGACATAACATGCTCTCGTTTCTTTCCTTCCTTTATAGTTGGTTTCTTCTTCTTTCCAAATATGCGACACGCTACTACGTAAATAAACTATAATCAATTCAAAATACTTATCTCGAGTGCATGCTGAGGAAAAAATCAAGCATAAAAACATTTCATTTCTGTTCTCTTTATTTGTTAAACACTATATTCTGTGTAGGATGTGTCAAACGAAAGCAAATATTCTGTGATAGATAAAAGTTGGTGAAGATGGTGTGTTTTTTTTTCTCTTGATAACAATTGACGCGAGAAAAATACACATGATGCTAAAGATGAAATGAGTCAAATGTCCTCACTCAGTAAATCAAGGTAGTTCAATAGCATCGATTCGTCGTCACTTTCTCTAAGTCATTTGGGAATGAATTGAATTTATCAAAATCTTGTTGTTTAATACAATAAAAGATGATTCATGATGTTAGGCCGAATCATTTCCACGAAGAATCTCTGTTATCAACAGATGAGAATCAAGAATCAAATTATAATGATATACCATTTGTTTGGCTTAATAGTGACATTGAGAAAACAGACGATTGTTTAGATACAGAAAATTAATTATTGTCAATTGTAAATTATTTGAAAACATTTGAAAATATTGAGACATGTGTCGATTATATTCAATCTACACCATACACTGAAAATATATTTTTGATCGTATCTGGTTTGTTATGTGAGTTGCTTATTCCTCATATAAATAATAATTCACAAATAAAATATATTTTTATTTTTTGTATAGATAATGAAAAACATGAAAAATGGATAGATAAATATTCAAAAATTCGAGGTGTATATATTGATAAACATATTTTATTTAGTGAATTAGCAAAAACAGTTCAAATATTTGAACATAATTTATTAAAAATGAGTACTTTACAAGAAAGAATGTAACAGAAAATTCGATTAAGAATTATACAAATGATGATGATAATGGAACGTTAGTGTGGTATGAATTAGTTTTTGAAATTTTACTTCGATGCCAGTTGATGCTAAAGCCAAAGAAGATATGATAAACCAATGTCTTTCTGATTATAAAAATAATACGAGTGAACAGCAGAAAATTAATGATTTTTCTGAAAATTATCAATCAGATAAGCTTTATGTTGGTATACACTCGATTCTTGTCTCTATCGTTTAGTGAATAAGAAGGCTGTACATTGAGGATAATCAATTGTAATGACAATCGCACAAATTGTGCAAACTCTTTTTTATGTCGTACGTTTCAGACGAACGATCCCAAAGCACTTTGAACAACAAACATTGACATTATTATTAAATTTCGCTTTTTTATCATTGATTTGTATAATCAATTGAAACAATGTCATATAAAATGAAAAAAAACATCGTACTGTATATCGTGGACAACACATTGGAGTAAATGAATCAGAAAAACTAAAGAAATAGCATTGGAGAATTTATATCACCAAATTCATTGTTTTCAACATCGATTAACAGTTGTATAGCATTAGGATTTATTGCAGATGGAACAAATCCTAATGAAGATAAAATAACGGTACTATATGAAATAGATATTAATGACTTGTATTATACAGAAGTAATGAATATTTTATCGTATACA